AATAAACATTTTGCCAGTGTTATATTAGTGTTATATAATGTGGTAACATTTATATTGTTTAATTGTGTACTATTACGTACATAATCTATTGTTGCTACATTATAATAAAGATCACTTGTTGATATATCTGTTCCATTATATAACCATGTTTTACCACCATCTGATGTTTCTACTCTAGTATAAGCAAGATACATTCCATCTCCTTTCAAAGATATACCAGTAGTAAGAACTTGAGCAAGTACTCGACCAGGAATAGAAAGAACAACAACTACGCTGCTAAAAGGTAATGTACGTATAACATCATATTGTGTAATTTTGTTTCGAAGAATATCATCAATACGTACTGCTCCTCCATTAATAACTCCAATAGTCGTCGAATTTTTCGTTGTTAATTGTAACATACTTTCACATATTGCTTCAGTTAAACGTGTTATAGAACTTCTAACAGATGTATCTCTTCCATCTAGTTCAATACCAGCAGGTAAACATGATACAACAGCATTTGGTTCATAGCCTAATGCTCGAAATCCTTCTATACCTAAATTAAACCAATAATTTGCTACTGCTGCTGTATTTTCTTCATCTGGTACTTCAGATGTCACTTGTGCTAATATACTATAAACACGAAACTGTTTTGTATTTAAATTATAAGCACAACGATGTATATAAACAGTAAAAGCATTAGCATCTGCTTTATAAATTGGTACATATTTTGTTCCTCTTAGATAATAATAATTATCATGTTCATGTCCTCCAATAATAATATTAATTTGTGGAATATTCGAAGCAAGTTCAATATCTATTTCCATATCTAAATGAGTTATAGCAACAAGTACATCATATGTTGTATTTGGTAATGATCTTAAAAATTCTTGAACATAATTAACTAATGATGATCGTTTGATGATTCTAACATAGCTACCAGTTTCATCCATCGTTAAACCAATGAGAAGAATTCGAACAGTATCAATAGTGATTATTTTATATGAAATACTTGATCCAAATGTTTGATTACTATCAAGACGAAATACATTAGTACTAATCCAAGTAAATTTTGATTCATTCATTCGAGTAAGTAAATCTTTTTCAGATAAATCAAATTCATGATTTCCAAATGTTGCAAAATCAAGTCCAAGAATATTCATTGTTGATATCATTTGTTTTCCACTTAAAGCTGTTCCATTTACTATTGATACACTTAAAGCAGATGGAGAAAGAAGATCACCAGCGAGAATTGTATAAGTATTAGAATTTTCTTGTTTTAATAATTTTCGTATATAAGCAACACGAGATAAACCACCTTTTCGTCCTCCATCAAGTGGTAATAATTCATAAACATCATTCATTTGTAAAAAACTCCATTGAACATATCGACCATCATTAGGTAAATCAATAGGATAACCAATAATTCCATTTGCAACTGCATAACTACTGGTGGAAGAAGTTTGACTGTTACGCCATAAAACAGCATAGACAATAGTTAAAACAAGAAGACAAATGATAACTAAACTCAAAAGAATATATATAAGACCATGTGGTAGAAATAATGTTTTCAATCGGTCTATATTTATATTTGCCATCAATAAGATTCAATCTAATAAAGATAAAGATGCAAAAAAAAAACTTGAGAATGCTAGTTGGTCTTGACTTCACTCTCAGTCAAATAAATACCCTACCCTATTCTCAAAATGCTTTAATTATGCTAATGTCTCATCATACTTAAAGGTTACTTACCTATTGTCTAATTAGAATAGACAGTATGTAAAGTAATTATTCGGATATCCTGTAATACGTGTTTATAAGACGAATTTGATAAAGAAGAAAATAATATTTTCTCGATTGTAATTATATAATTCGATCGATTGGAGACTCTACTTTATTCTACGAAAAAAATTGCTGTAACGAAGATTTTCTATTTATGACGTCTTTATTCTGCATCAAAATATGTTGAGTTATATATCATTGAATAGAGAAAAATAAACTGAATAAAATCATATTTTTAGTTGCTAAAAATCATTAAATAAAACATATATTAACTGCTAATTAAAATTAGTATTTCATATCAATCTTTCGATTATCTTGGTTTTTAGGGACTGAAATCAAACTCGATAGTGTTTTTAACGCAACAAGCTTGTACATAGTTAAATTATTTATAAAATGATGTGCTTGAATGCACGATAATTATCTTTTCTGAATATGATGAGAACATATCTTTGTAAGTTTAATTTACAATGAACAAAGAAAAAAATTTTTTTTTTTCTTTCTGTCACTTTATATTCATGTACTGACTCGGAGTATAAAAAGCGATAGAACGAAATCAATATGTTTTTTTCTTCGCTGTAAATTATACTTGAAAAAGATATTCTTGTCACACTCAGAAAAAGTATCTATCGTGCAGTCCATCACATTATTCCGTAGACGTTTATGTCGTCCAAAAAAATTTTTGAGTTTGATTTCGCATCCTACAAATCAACTGTATTAGAAAATCTGTATGAAATTATAAGGTTATAGATATTAGATAAGTTGGCAACGAAGAGTAAATAGATATACAATACGTATTTCATCTCTTTATTATCGATATCTCGACTACTTTATATAGGGTTAGTCATTCAATGTCAAAGGAAAATAACCAAGGTGAATATATAAAGGATAAAACACTTATTAGGAGATGACAAAAATAGAAAAGGAAAATACCTGTATATAGAACAATACATATGCTCAAATGGTAGAAGAGACAAATACCAATGACAAGAGAACAGAAAGGAAGAAATATATATATGGTGATAGAATAGAGAGGAGAAGAGAACAAAAATATAAATGACAACAGATATGATGAATAGATGATTTTAAAACTTCTTAACAGAATACTAACTTTAATTAAGAATAAATGTCTTTTATTCAATAATATTTAGAAACTAAAGACATGATTTGGTTCACTTTGAATTGGGTTTTTATTTTATTAAACTTGAAAACACTTAGATTCTATGTAAGACTTCTAGAGTTTCAGGTAGTTTTTAAGTTTTTCGGACGAAGTATTTTCAGGCAGTATTAATGCACCATAGAAAAGAAAACTACAGGTTGTCTAAATAATTATTTGACATATTGTATTTATAAAATTTGTTCTTTTATAAGAGACAAAATGCAATATTTCGCAAAAGATATCTGTTGTAGAAATATTTCGAATTTACGAGTTCTTAGCTACAAAACCAAAATTAAATAAAAATCTTTCTTAAGCTCATCAATTACTCCCTTTAAAGAAAATATTGAAAGTGATTGGATGAATGTGATCAAGTGTGAATGTTAGAAAATTGTGTAAATAAACATATTCTTATATATATATGTCTTTTATCATCTTAGTCTTTGTTGACGAATATTATTTTCTTTTTATTACTTACTGTGCCTTACACACCCTATCAAAATGCAATGAATGTCAAGCTACTGCAATACGATCAGTTAGATGAAGTGTAACGAACATGTGTGCTGAAGAAATTATACTCGCTTACCGTAACCATTGAGAATGAATCACATTGTACTTCTCACTATACCGTGACTCAACTATTTTTTCTCTCTTGTTCGATTACTAGCTAAAATAAATGAAGAATTGTGAAAATAGATTTTAATCTTGCAACGTTTATTTTTTTTTTGTAATGAGTTTTTATCAGTTTTGCAATATAATAGTTTTTATCAATATTTCTGAATACTATCCATGGCCTTTAACAAATAAAACTTGAACGAGAAATACAAGTTTTTTTATACTAAAATAATATTTTTTATATATTTAAAATCAAATTTGTTATTCTTCTCATCTAATTTGTATTTTCATTATCAACTAATGATGATTATTGATAAGATGATACTTTGAACATGGTACCTTGGTCATCTTATTTCGAATATATTGTGTTTATTATTAATATTGTAAAAGTTAAAGTTCCTATTCGATGAACATAATATGCGATGCAAAATTCTTTGGAGAAAATATCGAGAGTCATTTTTCAATATTAAATAATTGCATCAATTTAAATTTATTTCTATTTATAATGTAGAGCACTCCTAATATTTTTGAAACTTGATTTTTTAGTATTTCTAATTGATGGGTTTACTGTACTGTCTTTTTCAAAGTTTAAATTAATCATGTCTACGAACGATGCTTTGTAAGTTCTACAAGATCATTTATTTAAAATTTTCTTGATTAAAAAATGCTTCTCTTGCAATATTCATTCATCGAGCTTATTATTTCATTATCAAAGTACAATAGAAAAGATAGTGAGTGTGCATGAGCTTTGAAAAGTGAATGAAAACTTCTTCAAATATATATATTAGATAGGAAATTTTTAGTTCTATTCAACAGTATACCATGATCATTGTTAGTATGTTTTAGAGTACTACTCTTGTTTAAGCACAAATGAGTTAGATAAAAAATAGATGCTTTAGGGTGTGGGTGTGGGTATGGGTGTGGGTGTGAATCTTTTTTCCATCCACATCAACACCTACATCCATCCTGAACTAGTGTGATGTTGGTACCGGAAGAGTAGTTCATTTATTCATCAAAAAAATATGGATATATCCTAAACATCATTCATTTTGCTCTCTTCATGATTGAATATCATTATAATACAATACATTGTTTTTTCTTTCATTTGTGGTCGTCATCTCTGTTATCGTCGATCAATCACTTATTCTTTTTAATTTTTAGAACTCAATGACAATATCTAAAGATTTCTCATTTAGTACATAGAAACTTTTAATTTTAGAAAAACAATGGGAAGGTCATTGATGTGTTCACATGGAGGTGGGCTCTGTGTCTTCAACAAACAGAGACTCTCTATACACACGAGCACGTAAACAATAGAAATAAAGAAAATTCATTTATTAATTTTTTTTTATAATATTTACATTACACTTTTTTTCACGGCATTACTTATTTCATCGTGGTTTTATATATAATAAATCAATCGTTTGAGAATAAAACAAAGAAAAACTGTTTTTATTCTTCAGTAGTTTTAACTTGATGACACATCGATCTGGAACTTTTGCACTCGACCATTGTTCTCATCGACGACATATAAATTACCCTGTCGATCGAATGACAAACCTCTGGGATAGTTGAGCTGATTCGCTTGATGTCCTTCGTCATTTCCACCAACAACTATACTTCCTTCTTTGGCTTCTTTAGGCCAACGCATTATTCGATGATTCCCAGAGTCAGCCACATACACAGTACCCAATTGATCGACGACCACTCCTCGAGGACTACATAATTGTTTCAGAGCATTTCCTTCACCATGGCCACCAGCGACCACAATACCTTCTTTCGCATCTTTTATCCACTTCATCACACGATGATTCCAGCAGTCCGACACGTATATTGAATAATCTTGATCAATGAAGACGTAATGAGGTACATTGAGTTGATTATAATGATCACCTCTTCCATTACCACCTGCCACCACTATTCCATTTATTTCATTTCCTCGTCCTTGCTATCGTTTTACTTCATGCTTTTCCGTGTCAGTAACGTAGAAAGATCCCTCGTTATCCATCGTCAAACCATAGGCATTGACATCATTGATGATTGTTTGTCCACTTTTACCTTCTCTACGAGGCCATCGTACCACTCGTCTGTTCTCTTTGTCGCAGATAATGAGCGTATCTGTTTCTCTATCGACAATCACATCTGATGGTTGATTCAACTGATTAGTTCCGTTCCCTCGTCCATTTCCACCAGCCACCACTTGACCATTCGTCGCACCATCCTTCCACTCCATAATGCGATGATTGTTCCAGTCAACAATGTATAGAGTTTGATTGTCATAGACATACAAAGCGTAAGGGTAAGAAAGTTGATTCAATGCATTGCCTTGTCGATTTCCCCCAGCTACAGTGATGCCATTTTGAATCCATTTGGCATTGGGAGGAATATGTGGCGATGATGATGATGATGATGCTGCAATTGAAGCGAAAGTGAATGTTATAATGACAGTGAGTGAAAAGATTTGATGTAATGGAGTGACGATTCTGATTCGAGTGAGCTGAGAATATTTGGGGATGTATTCAATGAGAAATCGATAATACTCATTTCTTAGATGCAATAAAACATGTTTTCACTGACAGTCTACTAAATTTAATCGAAAATATGGAGAAAAATAATTTTCTTTGAATTGGATAAAATACAAATTGTTGATTTTTTTTTATATGACAAATAATATGATTAGACAATGTTGATCAAAGTAGAGGACTTGATATACACTCATAGAATAACAACACTTGCGAGGAAACAATTGATAGTGAAATTCATGCAAAATGAGAAAATCCTGTTATTTTGCTTACGACACTGTTTGGAAAGACAACACACAGTGAACAGTGTTTACTTGCTCAAATATCAACTTTTGTAAGGATAAAATAGCCATGTTAGAACAATTTAGTTTTAACTCTGAGGACACAGAAGCACATTTCAAGATCATGCCGACCACTTTTCATCAGAATCGAATTGTTACCTGTGCAAATAGAACAAGCCTATATGAAGAATTTGTTCTTTGGTAGCGGTAATAACAAAACTTTGTTTAGATTTCACTGCAGAAGGCGTTCAAGTCGTTATTTTGACATGAGAACATGGACTCGAGAGAAATCGCGTCGTATGATTTATTGAATGTCACTCTAAGAGATGCAAGTTGACTCACTCACATTCTTATTGGACGAGAAATCAAGAGAATCATTCAGATGAACATGAGATATTCAAATCGATGCATGAACTATAAAACAATAGAATACTTTGTAAGCTTACCTTTCGTTTTGGTGTCCACCGTGGGAATACTAAAAATACGAGAAAAAATAGTATTATAATCCTAGCTAATAACGTGATAACAGTTATTCAGATTGATTCTAATGCTATCATTAAATGTACTTTCCCAGTATATTTAATCTATCACTCAATTTGTTGATCTCATATACAGATGTCTTTTTAGCTATCACTGTAGATCTATATTGATCCATGTGCGTGCAATCGAAAAAAAATAATTAATCCATGAATATAAAAAAAATTTATAATATCAGAAAATAAACTTGTTTTCAAATCTAATATGTACTTCATTTCTGTGTGCTGGATGTTATTTCTTTTCAGTTATACGATTTCCGATGGCGATATCACTCAGAAAAAACACTATCTAATGAATAAAACAATTTTTGTTTCAAATGATAACGATATGTCATTCGATTTTGTTATTCCGATGCATTGGTTCGTTCTGTTCCTTAATTCTATCGCCATCAGCGTGCAAAATGAATATATGTCAGAAATAAAGCTCTTGTCACTAATCTTAAGGTGGCGGTGTGATTTAAGCTCCGAGTAACATCCACACCCATATATTATGAGAGAATTACAAACAATGGCTTACCTGATAATAGGTTTAGGTATCGGTGGAGGATTGACTGGGATAGGTGCCGGTAATTCTTTATGTTCCTTGAAAAAGACATAATTCTTTATTTTAATTGACTATCGAAGAAAAAAGTAGATAAACTCACTCTTGATACAGGCTCAATAAGAGGATATAGTGGTTTAATTTCTTTAAGTTGAATGATGTGAAGATCTTCACCTTGACTTAAACATGAAACAACTTTGAATTGTCGAGCAGGTGGAAGTAGAATCTCATATTCACTTTTGAAAAATGAATGTTCTCGAATACCAATTCCATTATCACATTCGATGTTGAATAAAGTTCTCGTGCCTGTCGAACCCAAAAATTGTTCATTTTCCAAAACATCAATTGTCGTTGTGCATGAACTGAATCCCCACCAGATAATCGTTGCGTCTTTCGGATAACCTTTTCGCATATCACATTTAACTCCACGATAGACAAAACGACGAGTTGGTGGGAGAAGAGAAAAAGCAGTTAGAATGAGTTTGAGATACATGAACCATGGTTTGAGTTTTTTTCGATCTTCAGCGCGAAGAGTAGCATTCAAAACAAAATAGAGAGATTCATTTTGTGGTTCCCATTCCATCGAGTAAAGCATAATTGAAGCTGACTGATCTATCGAGAGATTATTAGGTGGAGGATTACGACATTTCTCTTTAGCCACATATGCCATTCGCTGTACTTCAGGCACAAATGGAACGAGTGGCTCAACAGCTTTCTCGAGTGAAACCAGAGGCACCTTCTCATATCCTTGGATTGGCATTAACATTGTGCCAGGCTCTCCAGCAATATCCAAAAAACGATTAGTACGTGTCGGCTCATCATTATCATATATTGTAGCCATTTAACGAATATCTAGAAAGATGACAGTTGAATCTGCAATAAATTATCGAAAAAAAAA